GGCCGCACTGCAAGAGTTCAGCAAGCTGAAGGGTGAAGAACAAAACTTAATCAAGATTTTGACGGAGAGTCTTGGTAGTAAAGGTACCCTGGCAATGACTTTGGAAAGTGCAACTGTGCCCTCGCATACTACAACGTTGCAGAAAAAACAATTTGCATCGCTGATAGAAGACAGTGTCACACCGGCGAAGTTTATGTCCACTGTATTCAACACGGGTGTCGAGTCCGCTGCGGTTGTGCAGAAAAGGATTGCGGACAAGTTCACGTCGTTCTTCAAAATACAAGAAGGAGTGATTAAGCCAGGCGGTTTAAGTCCCTGAAATTCAGGTAAATTACAAAGCGCCTAGTCTTACTGTCTTACTGGTCCCTAGAAAAGAGTAATGACGTACACGAAGTGTTATTGCAACAGTTGCAAACTCTTCCGGATACACAAATGATCTTCTCCATCGCAATATCCGTACCAGCATTATCGCAGCTGAAGATACGCCTCGGCGAAAAATGCACCCATGTCAACTGCTTAATTTTTTAGACAGTACTGAAAACTAGTTTCAGTATATATATATATATATATTTTCCTCTGGGGTATCAATAAGATAACCAGTCTATCATAGTCTGTACGGAATAGCTTATTTTTGTTCAACGGTGTGATAGATTTTCTTACTATTTTATAGTATAGCCAAGTTTTCACCACTACTAGCACAAAACAAAACACGAGACAAACCCCGCCTGCATGAATGACGATCACTAATAACATTGCTCGGCATAATATAGTTGCTCTTGCTAACAGCTAGTCTATCGCTCTAAAATCAGAGTCTGTGTATCAGATCATCAAATGAGCCGCCGATTCTTTTCAATGGAAGTGCCAAGAGATGTAAGATTTCATCGGATGTGCGAATACAAGCATTCTCAGGCTACCAAACACGCCGTACTCTGTACGAAGAACTGTTCTCGTAGTTATATCCAGAGTCCAGAGTTTTGGGGCGATCGGAAAGCGTCGACGATCCTGTCAAATAACATTTTTATGGATATATCTGTAACTATTTGAAATATGTTTACAAGCTAAAATGACGCAGAAACTAATAAACTGTTTTCTTTCATGCCCAAAAGAGTGAATGTTGACCCAGTCGGCCTAGAACAACATTCAAGCAACATTGTATTAATGTGATCCAGTCACATTCAAGCTACATTATGGCTTCAAC